GGAAGGAAGGAAGGAAGGAAGGAAGGAAGGAAGGAAGGAAGGAAGGAAGGAAGAAGTCCGAACCAAATAGACTTCTCTTTTGTAGCTCTCAGGTATTAACACACGACTCAGAAGTTAGAAACAACAAGCAGGAAAGGAAAAGGCAGCTCTGTCACTATCTCCTCATGATCTCACTTGACAAAGTGGAAACCCCTATGTAAAAGTTCTATACAATTTATAGATGCAAAATAGCTGCCACCTAGTAAGGTACCATCACTGCTTAGAAAGATCCGATGGTATTATCGAAGACAAAGCTACAAGTATCTGAAGGACTCTAAGAATTTTAGGATTCAAAATGAAATGCAAAATGGAAGCAGATAATTATAGTAAATAATATAAAAATGTTTAATATGCAAAGAACACACAGAACTGTACTTTAAATCATAAATGATCGTACAGTTTACAAAGGATAAACTCGTCTGATAATACACAATGCTCAATCAAATACGTGGCTCCCATTTGAACTAAGGAGGAATACCAAACAGCTCCAAACAACCTCAACTGCAAAAGCTACCCTCCCATCTGTCCTTTGCTAGTAACAAAGACTTAAAATACGAAAAGCACCATACACTCTTGGCCCATTGAGGTTATTCTATTCAGAACCGACGACCAGTTTGACTTTCTTCATCAACAGCTGTACCTCTCTATGGACAGACAAACTACTTGAAAGTTTCTTCAATCTCAGCACTCAGGAGGCAGAGGCAAGGGGATCTGTGTGTCCAGCCTGGTCTACAGAGTGAGTTCCAGGACAGCCAAGGCTGTGTAGGGAAACCCTTACTCAGAAAGAACAGAGAAAAGTCAAGTTCCCCCACATCTGTGCACGTTATAGCACATGCTACCAAATGTATTCCACTTCTTCAACTGTCAATGCAGAAGTCATGTTCAGTCAAGCTAACACTCGTACTGAGTAAAAGCTTCAAACGCTCACACAGGCTCTGACCCCACAGAATGAGCTTCACGGACACAGTGGTAGACCTTACTTGTTCCTCAGCCACGAGCAAAGGGTGTGTGGACTCTTCGCCAACTGAAGGTAAGCGAGCACTTCCCACAGAAGGGTGCCGGCTTGAGGGGTGGGATGAAGCATCTCCAAACGAGGGGTACCGGGGGTACCCATTGGGTAAGTTCTGAGCACCAAGCCCTGGAGCTGCAGTTCGTTTATTTTGTTGAGAAGAAAGGCAGGACATGGAGTAGGGCAGAGAACAAAAATGAATGAGACTAACACACACTGGGAGTTGGTGATACTTCCTGTCAAGTCCTAGAGCACAAAAAGGAGCCAGTGCGCTCTGACCTCATGGACTGGCTGTTCTGTAGTGCTGGTGCTAAAGCACCCCTCCCCCACCCCGCATAGGCAAGGCCAGCATTCCCACACTGACCTATGCTCCTACCTTTAACTCACATTCTAGACAAGGTGACATGTTTAATGTTTTCATTTTTAAAATGTTTGTAACTAAAGCTAGCAGAGGGTTTGTGGCTGTTCATCACCATTTCCAATTGTCATAAATACCCATAACCTATATCTTATAAATGTCTGAAATGCAAACATGCAAAGAAAAAGGGCTACTTACTCGTAGGTGTTCGAGGTGTTCTAGGGACTTCCAATTCTGTCTGATGACTATTCCTTTCTACAACTGGCTCTTCCACCACATTTATACTATTATTTTGCATAATCTCTTGCAGCATGTTAAATAATTCTTCTGCACGGGCACACTTGAAAGCAAAAATTCCTACAAAGATAAACCAAGAGCAATACATAGTAATCATGCCTTTAAAAAGCTATAGGAGCTTTGGTCAAAAGAATTTCCTTTTGCACTGGTCAGTAACTGCGCAGATTGATTCAAAAGACCAAACTAAATGACTGTTGAACATCTGGTCATATTTGGGACATGGATGGATGGATGGATGGATGGATGGACGGACGGATGGACAGACAGACAGAGATATATCAATGACCCCTTCAAGGCTCGAGGAACAGTACAGAAAGGGAGAAAAATGTCAGACTCAGAGGAAGAGCAAGGGTCTAGAACGCTGACTTCCAGGAATGACAGGAGCTATTATCGTGTACCTGAGAACTGAACTTACTAGACCCATCAATATACCCTATCATCGGGTAAGAGAGCTGGCTCTAGGGGCTTTAGGATTTATAACTAGTTAGTGGCTATGTGGGAAAGAAAGATAGACTTATCAATGGTGCAGCCATTGGTAAGATGCTTACATCCCTGAACAAACCCTTGCATATATTCCTGTAAATAACTCGAATGAAACTCACTGAATTTCCCCAAGTTGTCGTCCCCCAGCCCCTGCACACCAAATGACATGAAAGTAGATGGGGACTATCTGGGGAAAGAAGGGGACAGCAAGAGTGGGAGGTGGATGCGATCAGACTTTATAATGTACACACGTGAAAATGCCAAGGAAGCCCATTTTATGTATAATGGATCTATGGTAATAAGAGTTTCCTAAGTTGCAAGAACATTCAGAGAGGAAGACACTGTGAAAGAGGCATCGTGACAGTCTGAATGAGAATGGCTCCGACAGGCTCATGGATTTCAATGTTAGTCTCTAAGAGCAGAGGTAGGAGGTGTGGCCTCGTGTGAGAACGTGTGTCACTGGGAGTGGGTGGCAGGCCAGGAATCTCTACCTGCTGCCACTGGACCAGGATGTAAAGCTCTTAGCGACTGCGCCACTCCACTGCTTACAGTCTTTGCCCAACAAGTTAGAACCGAAAAGACAGTTAACGTTTCATTTCTACCAAGTTCAAAGTGTTTAGTACATGCTTGGTGAATGGATCTATAGTTTATGTTTATTAACTATCCTATTTTTTTTTTTTTGGTGGTATTTATTTATTGGCTTGGGTCTTCCTTTTTAACCATGGCTTGCCTGGAATTTGCTATGCAGAATTTGCAACAATCCTCCTGCTTTTACCTCCCACATGCTAGGTGTACAAACGTGTGTCTCCATGCCCAGTCTTTTATGCAGAATAACCAGAAATGCAATGCTTCAAATGTACTGTCATCTGGAGAAAATAAAGGCTTTACCTACCTTGTCCAGTTTGACACCTTCGACCACTTTCAAAAGAAAACAGATTTGAGTCGTAGCCGTACCGTCGCAGGCAGAGGTAGTGCCATTTCACTGAGTCCCGCTTCCGGGTGTACAGAATCAGTTCTGTGTCTGTGAGCTCCATGATACCAGAGCCTAGCTCATTGCCATCATCATCCACGTTAATGACCTAAGAAGACGTGAGAGCCACTTAACATTTCACTACCTTTTAGAAAAGAGTGCACTGCTGATAACTCTGTCAGCTTTCCTTCCCTTGCTACTGCATTCACACCAGTGTGTGGAGGGCAGTCAATAAGATAATATCCATCCACACGGATAAAGAATTCACATTCCCACTTAACAGGACCCAAACACAAAATGAGACTGTTTGACTGTTGACAAATGAATGCAACAGAGCCTGTACACGGTGGCAACTGTAGCCTAAAGTGGCTACAGAGAAAGCAGGGTCTCTCCTTGTAGACCTGAGTAGAATTAACTTTACAGAGCACATCTGGCGGCTCACATGATGCATGACACAGTATGAAGGCACGATGCTGAAACAGAACCAAGAAAGCACCTTTCAAAGAGACCAAATTAAGACAGGCACAAAGTCCATCCAATGAGGAGTGTACTCTGAGCTTCAGAAAACACCCAGAAGGCTGGTGTGGGGCTCACGGGTAAAACAGCTAACTAGCATGCCTGCAGCCCTGGGTTCCACTCCCACTGTTACAACAAAGACAAGGCCAAAGACTAAGAATAAAGGGTACCATACAGAGAACTGTTGTTCCTGGGCCAAGGGCAGGTGATCTCCATGTACCTTCCCCATTCCATCTTCCTAACATCCTACAGTACAGGCTTCCACTGCAGCCATGGAAGTAAGACTTACTCATCATACAAACTGCCCCAGAGAGCAAAGCGGTTAAGTAGCAGGGGTCGAACTTACACACATACATGTCACCCAGAGGCGAGGACCCCCCAGAAAAGGAGCAGTTAGCCTATTTTATCACAGTTACTGAAGGATAAAAGAGGACTAACTGTGTGCCAACCTCAGGATGGATCACAGTGTAGCTTAGAAATCAAGCCAGACATGGTAGGACATGCATGCAGTCCCCGCTAGAGGGAAGAGAAGGACTGGGACTGCACGCAGCCTTGGATACAGTGAGACTCTTGTACTAAGAAAGAAATCATGATATAAGCATGTGTGATGGTGTCTCCAGACGGTGAGGGCACTGATGCTCGTCGGCAATAACATTTACGAAGTGTCAAACCTTAAGACCTTCAGACAAGTCTTCCAGTCACTGTGGACATGTCTGTAACGAGGATTTCCATATGCTGACCATGACATACATGGTTCTGTTCTAGAATACACTTCTGCCCTGATACACTATCACACCCGAGTCCTACAGCAGTGGGCTAATACAATAAACAATGTACTAAAAGCTCTAAGACTGACCCAAAATAAAATTATTGTTTGATGTAAGATTTTTGTTACAGTAACAGAAAGTCTGCAAGTGCTAAGCTTGTAGTCTCAAGAAAATTGTAAAATGACATTTAAAAAAATTATTACCAAAACTATGTGATTAGCTGGACAAAAAGGACCAAATGAAAACTAAAAAAAATTCATTCTTATTATGGTTTGTTCCCCTAACAGCTCATGTGCTGGAGGCTTGGTCATTACTGTGGCAGTGTTGAGTGGCAGGACCTTTAAGAGCTGAGGAGTCCTTAGGTTCCTCAGTGGGAGGACAGTGGGAGGTCCTTAGGCTACTGGGGGTGTGCCCTCAAAAGGAATCAATCCAGTTCCTGTGAGATTTTGGCAGAGCACAGTCTCTCAGGATTCTGGTCTTGTAGACGACTGAGATCTCGCCCACAAGGAGGCAGTCTAGTCTAGTAAAGGGGTTCTTTTTTGTTTGTTTGTTTTGTTTTGTTTTGCTTTGTTTTGTTTTGTTTTTCGAGATAGGGTTTCTTTGTGTAGCCCTGGCTGTCCTGGAACTCACTCTGTAGACCAGGCTGGCCTCGAACTCAGAAATCCGCCTGCCTCTGTCTCCCAAGTGCTGGGATTAAAGGCGTGCGCCCCCACTGCCCGGCGTAAAGGGGTTCTTGACTGAAGTTTTCTCTTCAAGTGTGAACTAAACACAGCTCTCTGCTGTATACGCACTTGGGTTTAGGGACTTGCTGCAGCAGTGAAGAACAGAGTAACAACCCATATTGTTAGTAAGAAAGTGCCATCATTTACTCAGATACGAAAAGGCACATTGTGGGGGAAGAGGGGGGTTAAAAAAAAAAAAGGCAACATAGATCAAGTGTCTGAGTATGTATGTCCAAGAAGGCAGAAGGAGAGACATGTATAATTCTGCTGGTTTTACTGACCTTAAACTTGTTCCGATGGTTATCTGGGACAGTGTCTTTATCTGGACAGCTACAACAGCTACCCATGGCTTCTTCAGAAGACCATGTGAGCACTACACAGAAAATAATTTGAAGAAAATTATTATACACGGGATGCAAAAGATTCAAAATAGGAAAATACTACAAAGCATCCCGTATAAGCATGATACTTGGATGCAGAAAATAAAGCCCAACAATGGTAATGTTTAGGAAGAAACTTCATTTAACTAGTTGGTCAATTATGCTTTTGAACAGAGTAAATTATACATGCCACAGAAACTCACATTTCCAGTTTAATTTATAACGGTCTGCTTATTCTAAAACCTTATACCATTCACTATCTAAATAGCTTACAGTCAACAGTTAATCAAGAAACCAATCTTTTATGGCCTATCAGAAAGTTCATGTCCTTCCTTAAAAAAAAAAAAAAAGTTGGGCATGTGGCACACTACTTTAATCCTAGCAGAAACAGGCAGCTCCCTATAAGTCTGAAGCCAGCCTGACTTACATAGCAAGTTCCAGGCCAGCCAGAGCTATACAGTGAAACCCTGACTTAAAAAAAAAAAAAAAACAATTTAAAAAAAAAGGATGCTATACTTTTAACTATCAGGAACTCTGATTCTTATTCATTGTAGTACCTTTTACATATTCTATTAGACAAGAGTTCATACACTATCAAATCTTAAACAGTACATTAGTAAGAAAGAAGGTCAACTCAAAATTCCACCAGCAGCATAAAATACACAGCACTGCACAACCTGGTTTTTGTGTATTTAATTCTTTGCCACAGAAGGTCAGATAGGAAAGGTTACAGAGGTGAGACACATGTTCAAGGACATTCCAAATAAACACAGGGGAATGTCAAAGCAGTACTTCTAAAGAAAGGAGAGAGGTGGAGTGAACTTGCTGTTTGCTACGTGGGAATGAGGCCCCACACAGGAGCCAGGAGCCACGATGTTACAAGCACAGGTCTGACTGAAACCATCAGACACTTCTTCAGCACTTTCAGGTTTAACAAGCAAAGCCTCCTCTTCCTCTAGGAAACTACCTACCTCACCTCAGTTAGAGTAACAGAATGCTCCCCCCACATCAGCCTACTGTCTCATGTCCTTCCATCCACACAGCTATCCGAGGCTTCCCTTTCTCATTTAAAGTTCTCCTGACTCCAGCCTATTAGGCTAATTTAAAGTTGTTTTAGACTTCTCACTCATCCCCATCTAAGCTCCCCAGGCTGTCCTGATAGCAAAGCATCCACCATGCTTTGTACGTAGCAGAACTGGGGTTGGCTATCTATTTATATACTGTTTTCCTTCCATTATGAGCCCCTTCCCAGTAGCAGCAAACCATACTCAGCCTTGCGTACCTAGTGTTCAGCACAAAGTAGGTACTTTAGACTATTTGTGAACTGCCAGTAGTTATAATTAAGATGAAAAATCATAATAGTCTATAAGTCTGAGGAAATGATAACCTTCATGTTCCACAGTGAATTGTCAGCGCTGTTCACCAGGTTTTGTTGCAATAGTTATTGTCCATACTGACTCACTTCACTATGAGCTCTCTGGAGAGCGGCTGGTTATCTTCTTCATTTCCTAGGGCATTAGCATACTGTCTAACATAGTCCATGTTCCATACATGTTAAGTTTTTTACCCAGAAGGGCTACATTATTAAATGGGAAAATATTTTTAAGTTTACAAAAAAGATGTAATTGTTAGAAACATTTGAAAATCTTAAAATTATATAGCATTCTTTCCCCAACTTCCTTAGAATTCATTCATTTTAACTACAAAGGGGAGATACTCAGATGTGTGTTTAAAATTTATTTGCCTGCAAGATACACCTGAGTGAGATTAACTCAGAAATCAACAGAAAACTGAACTAGAATAAAGACCTAACGGCACAGCAGCAATAGGTACAGAGAAGAACGTGACGACTTCAGAGACACAGTCTGACACGCCGAGTGGCTAACTGGTACAGAGGAGCATGAAGCCTGCCTGGGTCCACTGTGCAGACACCCAGCCTCTTCTGGTGGAAACGACGATGGACTCAGCTTTGACTGTCCTAGCCTGATGCTATAAATGAAGACACACAGAAGGGCTAAGTATGTAAACATGAGTTTGAGAGAGGAGCTTAGAAAGTCCGACTACGCGGACCACTGAAGCTACGAAGTGAGCGAGGGCCACCGCTGGAGACAGCTTAGCACGTAAAAGCATTTACTACTCTTGCAAAGGACCAAGGCTTGGTTCCCAGCACTCAGATGATGGCTCACAGTCACATGGCACTCTGGTTCCAGGGGATCCACTGTCCTCTCACCTCCGAGGGCTCATGCACACACATACATGTGCATGCACATTCATACAGGAAAAGGTTTTTTTCTCTTTATAAAATGCGGAGGGGAGATTGTGTGGGAGTCTAACTGACAGAGTGGGCTGAGGACCTATAGACGGTAGTTAGGGACAGGGACCAGACTGTGGGCCTACCAAGAGGTGGCAAACTGCCTTGTACTCTAGGGCAAGAGAAAGAATAAGAATGGAAGGGACTAGAGAGGTAACTTCAGGTCCAGGGGATTGGACGCCTTCTTCTGGCCCTTACAGTTACCTGTATAGCACAAACACACACACCCATGCACATGCACCCATGCATACACATGTGTATACACATAGGCACACACTTGTACAAAAATACATGTACACACTCTAAATGACAAACAGGTAATAACAGCAAATAAGCTGAAGTTGATGGCATTTCCCATCTTATAAATACAAGACAAAGGTTGCAAAACGAGGGAGCTGAAGAGATGGCTGAGTACGTGGGTGAGCGCGATGTCTGGAGGCCACATCTCTGTGGTGACAGCATGTGACAGCATATAACAAGCACTGGCACTTTAAGCCCTGGACAGAGAACCATGTGAACTCATTAGCACACTTCTTCAGATCAGAACTCAGCATGTATGTGAGGGGTCTACGCTCCCCCAGAACACAGGTAGCTGAGTATATTTAATAGCAAGAGGGAGCTTTAGTCTGTGATCAAAAATTCCACAAATTAGCTGAATATTCTATATTCGTAAACACTGTTTGTTTAATAAAAGCCATTTGTCCTTATTTTCTGGGGGTAAGGGAGTCAGTAAATCAACACACATTGTTGCATCCAACAAAATTAAGTTGACTGGTCCTTTCTTTTAAGACAAATTTCAACTTACCTAGATCTGTCCATTAATATTGTTAGTCTCTGATGCTGCATCAGGAGATTAATCATATTTCAAAATATAATGTCTTCGTTTGTTACCTTAACCTAGAAATAACAGAAAAAAATTAATCTCTTTCTGACAGTTGAACCCAGGGTGTCATCATGCTGAGTACAAATATGTAACTGAAAAACACGTCCAGCCCTGAGACATTGTCTCTTTTATGACAAGGTTTCAATGTTAGGCTTCTGGTAGCACCACTAGTTCAGCTCACTGCATAAACAAACTCAAATACCTAAAATATTGATTTGAACTTGCTGTCTAAGCTGGATTTTAAAGATACCAAACAACGACACACCAGTCTGAGCTCTCTGACGCTCCAACTTCTCCACAGAGCTCTGACTCCTGCCCGGTCACTCCTCTACATGTGTGTCCTCTGCTATTAGCAGACTCCAGGCCTAATGTCCTGGTCAAGCCTGGAGCACACTGTTCTGTATTCTTAATGATTCATCCTGAAACTCAAGACTCCTTTAAACCCACCCTCTATATCTTGTATTCCTTAAGATCTTCCTGATAAGCCAGGTGGTGTTAGTCAATCTAAAAACTGGCAAGAAAAACATTCCAAAGAGGCACAGGATAAAGATATTCTAGCAATAAGTTAGTCTATAGTCGTAAGAGATGTCACTGTACTTTTGGAAATTTCTGGTCAATTTGTTTACAACAGAGGGAAGGGGACCAAACGCACTCAAGCCGAGAGGTTTTCACTGAACACCTAGACTCTATCTATCAGGCACTTTATCAGAGCTTCTAGAACTTGCCATGCGACCTACACACTAACTAGAGTTCTTAAGAGGATGATAATTCAAAATACCACCTCCAAAATTATATACTAACAGATAATCAATATAGTTTCATCTCCTATCACAAATACCTGAACATAAAACAAGCACACCAGGTACTTGCTCATACCCCTCCATCAGGTACCAAGTCTGCACCTCTTTTGGCACAGCTTCTTGCTTGTCCATCTATAAAGATGGGAACCTTGCTAGATAGTCTAGGCTTAGACTTAACAGTGGTTCTCAACCTGTAAGTAGAGACCCTTTTGGTGGTCAAATGAACTTTTTCAAGGGCTGCATATCAGATATTAAATTACAATTCATAGCAGTAGCAAAATGACAGTTATGAAGTAGCTATAAAATAACATTATGGTTAGGGGTCAGCACAAGATGAGGAACTGTATTAGAGGGTCACAGTATCTAAGCTTTCTCCACCTAGTTCAGGCTAACCTCAAACTGATGGTCTCCCTATACTGAGAGACATCCCCTAGTGCTGGGATTAGAAACACATACTACCTTATCTGGATAACATGACTTCTTAAAAACTACAGGTCTCAAAAAATGTTTGACAACGATAAAGGGGGATTTGCTTTGAGGTTTTAAATATATTGTTATTAATTCTTCTTTGAGAATTTCATATAACGTTTTATACAAAATCATTATTTATTTTTAGTTTATATTCATGTGTTTTGCCTACATGTATGTCTGTGCATCATGTATTCTACATGTATGTCTATGCATGCACAAGGCCTGGGGAGGCCAAACCATGGCATCAGATTCCCTGGAACTGGAGTTACAGATAGCTGTGGGCTGCCACATGGAGGCGAGGACTCAAACCTGGGTCCCCCAGAGGAGCGACAAGTGCTCTTAACTGCTGAGACATTTCTCCACTCGGTCTTTGTTTTCAAAATTATTTTTATTTTATATGTATGTTCTGCCTGCATGTACATCTGTGTACCGCAAACGTGTCTGGTGCTCAGGCCAAAGAGGGTGTTGGGTCCTGTGGAACTGAAATCTGACAGCTGTGAGCTGTGAGAGAACTGAACCCTGGGTCTTCTGCACAGACAGCAAGTGTTCTTAACTACTGGCCATCTCTCCAGCCCCAGTCAAAAGTTTGTGAATAATCAATGATCAAAATTAAAACTAACATCAAGTGGGCAGCAGTCTCTGAGGGTGGCCTGCTGCTCTGCAATGCGTGACTTCACCATCAGTGTTCCATCCCCAACACCAGATAAGACAGCTCGGCACACTTGGCTCAGGCAGGGGAACACTCAGTATATACTCGCTCCTGTACAAACATACAGAAAGGCTTAACTAGAGAGAACAAGGACGGCACTTTCCTACCTTCGTCCCTACAGCTAAGTATCCAATTAGTCCATCTCAGAAGGCCTGAATTTAGAAAGCACTGTGGGAGCTGCTCACTTGAGTGCCATAAAAGTTGTTCCATCAATTTTGTCTTGGGCCTAGGACAGAAATGGTTCTAAACATACTCCTGCCATTTTCACACCAAGTATGAACATTCTCAACACTGATTATTACAAATATCAACCAACTATGAAGATGTTTGATATTCTGTGTCCTACAGTTTGGCATATTCACCCAACATTTAATTTTTTATGTAGAAATAAGCATGCAAATTGCTTTTTGTAAAACTATATCAAAAATTTTAAATAAAAACTCCATGATTTATTATCAGTAATTGTTTCCTTTGTGTACTTATTTTATAAACATATACCTATAGTTATAAGAAACTTTCTCACACAAAAGAGGTAATGAATGAAAAAGGTTTAAGAAGAAGTCCCATTCTATACATCCTCTTCCGTTCTCCAGCGACTCAAATATACTAGTGTGTGAGTATACATAGCCAGAGAGAGAAGGGGGGGGGGCTCTTGTGCGTAAAACTGCCCACAGCTAAATACATTCTACCACAAATACCCATCTTATCTGAGGCTCTGCTTCACCATCTATCTGTTCTCAAAGCTGTAACTAATTACTCAGAGAGCCTTTCTTCCTTATTTCTCTGTTTGGGCTCTCAGTATTGCCCACTTCCACACTGAGTAAGTGTACCGTCAGTAAATAAGCTTGAGAGAAATAAGAACAGCAAAACAAAACCACGTTCTGTCCATTTTGAAGATGAACGTATTACAGAGTCAGTATGCTAACCTGTAAGACTTAAACAGGACTCAAGGTCTCATTTTAAGTCTTTGAAAAACATTTACCCTGTCTTCTTTTTTGTTTGTTTGTTTTCTGAGACAGGTCTTGCTATATAGCCATGGCTGTCCTGGAACTTACTGTGTAGACCAGCCTGCCTGTGCTGGGATTAAAGGCTGCGTCACCCATCATGCCCTACTCCCCTGGGCTCCTTCCGAAGTCAGTATGCGTAGTGTTTGTTATTGTCTGTTTTGCGTTTTCAGAGACAGAGTCCCCTGTTCCTCTCAGGCTGCAGTCCTCCTCCATCCTGCTCCTGAGCGCGGAGACAGCAGCTGTGTGCCACTGCTGTCCATTGTATCACTTTATGTGTTAATTGTTTTGAATGTTAGCACTGCTGAAGTATTATGGTGGGTTTGCTTGCTTTTCAGAGGAATGGGGAAGTGGGGGGTGGGGGAGGGACTGTGTGAGGGGAGTATGGAGGAGGGAGGGGGAACAGGGATCAGGATGTAAAGTGAACTAAAAAAAACCTTTCAGTACAAATACCTACCATATAAGGTGTATTGAGTAGTAAAGATTTTGTGCTTCCTTTAAAAGCATACTTTCTCAGTATGAAAATACATTCTCAGTTTCAAACAAACTAAAGCACTCCCAATATGAAGAACAACAATTCACTGGACCATGGATATCATGGATATTTGATTTGATTCAGATCTTCTGTGTGACTTTTTTTTTAAACATTTATTTTATGTAAGTACACTGTCGCTGTCTTCAGACACACCAGAAGAGGGCATCAGATCCCAATACTGATGGTTGTGAGCCACCATGTGGTTGCTAGGACTTGAACTCATGACCTCTGGAAGAGCAGTCAGTGCTCTTAACTGCTGAGCCATCTCCCCAGCCCTCTGCGTGACTTCTCTTTGGTTTCTTTCCACTGCTGAACGACTCAGAACTGAACACAAGGTATGTGTAGTGAACAGGGTGATATATATATATACTAGAGCTCGCTTTTACTGTTCCTGGAAATCCACTAATAGGAAAACCAATGCCTGCAAGTTTCCTCTGACTACACGTTTTTGCATGCGCACATACACACACACAGAGACACTATCAACTATGTTGAATTAAAAATAAAAAATAACATGCCTTCTAGCTGTAGTAGGGAAACTACACCCATGAAATCTCAACAACATGGCTGCCTACACAAGGCAAGGTAATTGAAATTCCAGTTGAGACAGGAGGAATCTCATGGAGCCCCACCCTAGATGAAGAGCTACAGGCAACTGACAATGCTGAGAAAGGGAGAATCAGGCTTCCTTCCCGGGGATGAAGCCTGACTGTTATTCAAACCAAGCGCTCAACCCTAGAAACGTGTGCATGTTGATTTGTGTGTAACTGTCTGTCTTCTGTCTGTGTAAGGGACATGGTTAAAAGAGAAGGAAGCCATGAACGGAGGAAGGGGCAAGGTGGAAGGGAAGAAGAAGACAGGAAAGCGGTATAATCACATTTTAAACTCCAGAAAATATAGAGGGGCTAGAGAGCTCCCGCAGTAGTTACGAGCACATAGTGCTCTTGTAGAGAGTCGGATGAAGTCCCCAGCAGCCACCCCCAGGACACACACGGTGGCTTGTGATCATCTGTAACTCCAGCTCCATGGGATCCAGTACCCACTGACCAATGTCAGCACCAAGTACCCACCCCACATACACATAAAAAACTAAGTTTATTTTAAAAATAATAAAATGAGCTGGGTGTGGTGGTATACATCTTTAACCCCAATACTCAGAAGGCAGAGGCAAGAGGGTCTCTGTGAGTTCAAAGCCAGCCTGGTCTACAAAGTGATAAACTTCAGTGTATTGAAAATAGTTACTTAAGCTAAAACAGCAATATTTGTACAAACAGTTAAAAAAAAAAAGGGAAATTTAGAACATCACAAACTACTAATAGTTTGTGAATAATAATTTATGAATATTAATTTCTTGAAATTACTTTTCTTTCTACTAATTCACTCAAAAAATTGAAAAAAAAATCAATGAATAAAAAGTTCATCTTCGGAGGACAAATTGATGGCCAAGAGACCACCGCTACTGCTGTGTTGGCACCATGGCCTCGGCCACCACCTC